TTTTTTTTTTTTGCTTTTTCTTTCGCTTCTCGTTCTCTCCATTTTAGTTTGACTTCTCGACTCACTCAAATCCGCTCCGCAACGTCAATGTTGAGAATGTCAAGTACCTGCTTCAGCGTGACACGTGTGAGCTCCACAAGGCAGAGGCGGCTGTTTTGCAGCGGGTCCCCGACCACCTTGCAGTTCTGGAAGAAATCCGAGAAGCACGAGACCAACTCGTACGCAAAGTCGGTGAGGTGGTGTGGGAAGAGGTCCTCGACGGTCTTGCGTACAACGGAGTCCATGCGAAAGGCACACAGAGCAAGTTTCTTCTCCTGTGGCGTGTTAATGACAACCTCCGCCTTCATGAACTCCTCATTGCTCACGCCCGCCTTGCGCTTAATGGAGCAGAGACGCGCGTACTGGTACAGGAGAAAGACGGCGGTATTGCCAGACAAATCGAGCATTTTGTCGTAACTGAATGCGTAATCGTTGACACGGCTCTGCTTCAGGTCAAAGTACTTCACCGCGCCAATGCCGATTGTCTTGGCGAGCGTCTCCATATCTTCCTTTGTGTGGCCCTGCGCGCGGTCACCGGCCTCGCGCTCCTGAAGAATAACGAGCGAACGCTCCACAGCCTCGTCGAGCAGATCCTTCAGCTTCGCTGTCTCGCCGCTGCGCGTCTTAATCTTCTTGCCGTCTGCGCCCGTCACGAGGCCAAAGCCGGCGTGGTCCCACGTGGCGCCGTCCATCCAGCCAAGCTCTTTCACCAGCTCCGCGCACATGCGGAAGTGCTCGTACTGGCCAACATCTGTGCAGTACACTACGCGGTCCATCTTCTCCATGACGAAGCGGTGGTACATCGCCGCGACATCGGTTGTGTCGTACGTGAAGCCACCGTCGCTCTTTACCACCATGAGAGGGAACGTGAAGCGTGGAACGATGATCTCGTCACCGTCAATTATGCCGGCCGCCTCAAATACCTCTCGGAAGAGTGGAGAGAGTTTAGTTTTGTAGAGAGACTTAAGCTGCGGCATCAGTTTGTCAAAATCTGTGCGAGCATCGAAGTCTGCTAGCGGTTTTGACTCCTTTGAGAGTGTCACGATTTCACTCCCCTCTTCCCCTTTAAGGATGCCCGCTTCCTTCATTGCTGCAATCATATTGGGGTGAAATTCTGTCTTGTTGTTGCGTTGAATCGTAGCAAGGTGTGGTGTGGCGAGTTTAGCCATGTCCTTCGCATCCAGCGAAGTGATTGGCTTCCTTTCCTTGGAGATGGCTAGCTTCGCGCCGCTGCTCTCCTCCAGCTTCCCGGCGTCCTCCAGCAGCCCCAGCACCTTGGGAATAAGGGGGTTGTAGAAACTCTCCCCACGCTCCTCGATGCGTGCGCCGAGACGATTGTAGATAAGGTTGAATTCCTTGCGGGAGATATCGCAGATAATCTTCCACGCCTTGATGGACTCCTCCTCCAATGCCTGCAGCTTAACCACCTGCAGTCGCGCCTGCTCCTTGAACTCTGCGTCCTCGTCAAAGCACTTCTTGGCCTCCCGGTAGAAAGTGGTGAGGTCCGAGATGTCTGGCGTATCGGTGAGGAAGTTCGGGTGCTGGCGCTTCATGTACAGAATGAGCATGCCAAAGGCGGTGCCCCAGTCGCCCACGTGATTGATGCGGTGAACCTCATACCCGCAGAACTCGAAAAGGCGGCTAATCGCCTCGCCAATGATGGTGGAGCGGAGGTGGCCCACATGCATCTCCTTTGCAATGTTGGGTGACGAAAAGTCCACAAGCACCTTTTGTTTCGGGAGCTGCGGGGGCCGGATGCCCTCTTTGAGGACACGCGACACTGTGGCAGCAGCCCAGTCTTGCCTGATGGTGATGTTGATGAATCCCTGTGGCGTTGGCTCAAAGCTTTCGATGAGATCGTTATCCGCGAGGCTCTTCTTCAACTCCTCCCCAACGAGTGCAGGGCTCAGCTTCACAGGCGGTGTCGCCTTGGAGAGCAGCTTAGCGAGTCCCATGGCATTGTTGCACTGGTAGTCCGTCACCTTGCCCAGGGTGATGAGCACATCCGGCGGCTGCACTGACGGAAATGCCTTCAGGATGGTCTGATGTATGATGTCCTTCAGCGCAAGCTCAGCATTGGCGCCTGCGAATATCTTAGCCATCGTGGCTGATTCAAGAAACCACGAGGGAGTTACGGCGGATCAGCTGTCGCCGCCGTGAGTGAGTGGGTGATTGAGCGCGTAACAGAAAGAAGGTAGAGATGCAGGGGAGGTGCAGCAGCAGAAATACAACACAGATGTATATACATATCTATANATGTGTGGCTGTGTATCACATCGCGTCTGCGTGACACGCGTCGTGCGACCCCGGGTTAACAGCGTGAGAAAGGGAAGGCGGGTGCAGGGAATAGAAGTGTGGATAAGCAGACATAAAGAGCCCCAGCCCATCACGGCTTCATATCCCCTTCTTTTTTTTTTTTGCTTGTTATGCTTTATTTTTTTTCTTGGGTTTTTTTTCTCGTTTTCTTTTTTTCTTCTCTCTCGTGGCTGTTGTGGGTTGGATCATTTTCTTCTTGTTTCTTTTGTCTCTCTCCCCCCCCCCTTTTCCCCTCTCTCTTAAAGCTCTTCCTTTTTACTGCGGTGCTGTAATTCAGCGTGCATCTGGCGCAGTAAAAAGAGAGAACGAGAGAGAGAGAGAGGGGGGGAGGGGGGGTAAAGAGAGAGAGAGAGAGGCAAGGGGAGTTGGGCGGCGATGAGGGAAGCAGTGAGGAGCAGCCCACTGGCAAGTGAGAGGAATTCGGGCGACTGCATGTGTATGCGTGTGCTTTCCTTCATTCGATCATGCCTTGAGCTGCACATTCACGCACACACACACAATGTCTCTCTCTCTCCCTCACTCACTCACTCACTCACTCTCTCTCTGACTCAACTTGGGCATTGGTCTTCCCCCCNTCTCTCCCTCACTCACTCACTCACTCACTCTCTCTCTGACTCAACTTGGGCATTGGTCTTCCCCCCTCCCCCATTATTTCTAGTCCCCTATCCTCGTCCTGTTTTTTTTGCTTTCATCATGCCCCCCCCCCCGTTTCTCGGCTGTGGTTTTCATCATCGATCCTCCGTGTATTGCGGCTGCATTGGCGTGCACCTCCACCCATCATTCGCTCAGTGGCGTGGCGGTACGCCGTCGCCACGCACTCTCCAACACACCTGCTCTCTTAGGTGTGTATGTGTGTGTATTTGTGTATGTGTGTGTGCGTGTGCGTGTGCATGGGTGTGAGGGCGTGCGCTCGTCTTGTTGTTGCTGCTGCTGCTGCTGTTGTTGACGCAATGTGTCTGAACTACCTTCTTCGACCCTCCACCCCCTCCACACACTCTTTATCACTACCTCAATTCATTTGGTTTCCCGCTTTTTTTTTCTCTTCTTTCTGTATTTTTTTCTTTCTTTTTTTCTTCTTGTTGTTGTTTTCCCTTGGTCGTTATAGAGCTTACGTTTCTTAACAATATGCCTCCTACCATGCCTCGCGTGTGCTCATTCTTCTTTATCGACGTGTCCTCTCGCTCAGTCCCTATATTGAAGATTCATATCATCTGTCTGCCCGTCACTGCCCCCCACTCCTGCTCCCTCCCACGCCTATAGTTCTGCGTCCATCACCCCCTACAGCAGTGGCCCTGACAGCAATCGCGCACGCACGTAACGCACACAGCCACACTAAACGCTTCAGCGACTCAGGGTGAGGGTGGGAAGAATGGGAGACCAAAATGGCGTGAGATATAAAACAGGCCACATTAAAGGGGCCATGACACGCTGACACGCTCCGCACACCCGATGTACACACGCACACACGCTCACGCACGCACCTCACCCGGTTTCCCCCTTAGGCTGGTTCATCTTCTCTCGCCAGTCCTTCGGCGGGTCGGCGTCATCCGTGGTGAGTGGGTTGGAAACAGTGTCGTACACCAGCTGCACCGCTGTATCCCTGAAGCTGTTCTCGTCCTCGAGCGCTTGAAACGGGATATTCTGTTGCAGTTCATGGAACACGGATTGCTCGTACGGGCTAACACACAGGATAGAGACTCCCACAGTGTCGCTGCGCCCCGCGACGAGCGACTGAAGCAAATAGTACTCCTCTGTCCGTGGCACTGAATAGTTGATGATAAGGTTGACGTACGGGACGAGGGTCTTTCGGGCCAATTTTGCATAATCCTCATTTGTGACAAGCAAACGTTCGCGAATGCCGTTCTCATTCTCCTCACCGTCCTTGAATTCTTGCAGCAGCTTCATGCGCTCCTCTTTTGGAAGGCTACGATGAATGAACAGAGGAGTGATACCGTTGAAGTACCGCGTGATCTTCGACGCAACCTTACTCATTTCGATCACGCGCTTCTGGTCACAAAACATGATAGCCTGCACGCCCCGCAACTGGGCTACTATTGTAGCGATAGTTTCCAGCTTGTTCCGCTCGTTGCCGGTGTTAACCCAGAAGTGACGAATGTCTTGCTGCTTCTCGAAGCGGAAAAAGGATACAATGTTCCTTAGAGACGCCTCCGAGAGCTCACGCACTGTTCCTTCATTCTTAATGTTGCAGGCAGCTACAAGCTTGGCAGCGCGTTGGTTGCTGCCTAGTTCGTTGATGGCGTACATCAGGCGGTTCTTTTGCTCCTCCTCTCTTTTCACTCCCACGTAAGCCAGAATCATCTGCTTTGATTGCTGCACGGATTGAGCGTCGGGGCCGTATACTATCAACTCAAATTTCTCAACGGTCGATTCGACGTGCTTAAATGGTTTGTTGTGTGTGTGAAACTTGCTGTGAATCTGCTTGAGGCGCTCTGCCTTGTTGCCAAGCAGGAATTTGATGCGGTGTGTGGGAATCTCACACACCTCGCTGTAGTCCTCTGAATTGCCCACCACCTCGTTGGGACGCCGCGAGCCACCCTCTGCCATTTCCTTCTGGTAAAGCGCTCTGTCATGGCTATAGCGGCAGCTGTCGCCGAACTTGCAGTCGCCGGAGAAGAAGTGATTGCACACGCGCTGGCGGCCGGGGAACGGCGCGTTGTTTTCACCGCCGCCGCGTCCACCAGCGCTGCCGCCATGACCGCCGCCACCACCAACACGCGGCGCCCCACGTGGGAACGGCATGCCGCCGCGGTTGCTGTCATCCGTGTTGCGTGGGGGATTGATGTTTGCCGCCTGTGGCGGCTGTTTCTTGTTGTGCGTTCCGCGGTTGCTGATGGCGTGGAGAATGAGGTTCCGCTGTGCTTCGTCGGGAACCGCCTCACGAAGCTCCTCTTCACTCAGCTTGCGCAAGTTGATGATGCGGTCCACCTTCATCTCCCGGAACTTCGGAATCAAATCCGGTATCTTAAGGCGAGCCAATAAGGAATCTACGGCGTTGCTCATGTTGGCGGGGTGCGAGTTTCCTTTTCGCAATAGCAAAAGTCGAAAATTTTTCTTTCCTTTTCCACGTTCCGAAACAAGCAATGCAAACGTACGGAAAAAGAAAGGAAAAAGAAACAAAGAGGAGCAGTGATCGATGCACATGTTTGTAAATTATGAGAGAAAGAGAGAAATAAGGGGGGGGGGTAAGAGAAGAGAGCGTTCGTGTGCATAGGCGCGAAGCCCATACCTAAACGTGAGATGCATGCCCTTGTTTCATTGACCACTTTTATAGTCTCCGCGCCGCGTCACGGCGTGCTTGCCTTCACCCTCCGCCGGTCGAACCTTAGCTGCCACGTGAGCTCGTCTACCTCCACGCTGGCGCCGTAGCTTCCGAAGTCGGCGGCACCCAGCTTCTCATCGATGATGGGTGCAGGGGCCTGGACAAGCTTCAGCAACGCATCACGTGTCCAGCGAATCACGTTGTCGCAGAGCAGCACCTCATCGTCACGCTTGCTCCGGGAAAGATTGGAGGTACGATGACAGAGAAGTTGTTTCTTTCGCTTGTGCGCCTGTACAAACGAGGAGATGAGAAGCTGGATACAGCCGTGCTCTGCAGCCAATACGGCATTAGCATTATCGAGCATCGTTAGCGTACCAATCACTACAGCACCTCCAAAAGCTAACTGTAGCGAGTCCGCATGCTTCTCCATGACCTCAACAACGTATGGAATGGACGGGCGCATCATTCGGCGTGAATTGCCATCATTCATAGCAAGCGTTCCGATCAGATCGAAGGTTGCAAAGAGTGTGTCTGTTGACAGACTATTGTGATCTCGAAGAACAAGGACACATAAACCAAAAACGCCAAAGCGAGCTGCCAATCTTCTGTTTTCCTCACGCATGCAGCATCGCGCCAATAGCGTCAGGACAGACCGCACAGTGGCGGCATGAGGCGGCGAGTTTTCCACCAAATCAACGCAAAGTGACATGCACGTCTCCGTCAGAACGGGGATGTCATCCGCCGCTTCGAGAGCGGTAGCAATGTTCCGCAGCTCCACAGCATCATCTAGCGATGACGTCTCCGATGAAAACGCTACCAGGCGATTCAGTGTGGCTTCTATCTTGTCAATCATGCCACGTCGATTGGAACATAAAAGCTAGGAAATCGTCAAAAGAAACTCGGAGACACCAACAGAGGTAAAGAATCTCTGCGAAAGGCACTAGGAGAAACATGACAAGTATAAAAACTATAAAACGGGCCAGGAAAGTTTGCATCGATCAGATTCCATGCTACATCCATGAACGACAAGCTCGTTCATTCTTACTTCTACATCACCTCCTTGACAGAATCACCCTTCAGATATCTGAATGACCAAGTCCTGCCGGACCTCCGTGGTCACTTTTCCCGCCTCTTGTACAGTCTCCGCACCGCACCGACACTGTTGCAAACTGAGATGCTTAAGAGTACTGGCCTCTGCAGCAACGCGAAGAAGCGCCAAACAGCCTTCACTCTGAAGAGGGTTATCGTCTAAAACAAGCGTGGTCAGTGCTGATGTCACCAATAGGCCCTTTGCAATAAACTCCGCACCAACAGGTCCAATTCTGTTGTGTGCGATGACAATCTCCTCGATGGCATTCTCACCAATGATGCGCCCCACTAGCTGCGCACACGCGTCGTCCAAGCCATCCGAACTCAGGTTGAATCGCTTGATTGTGTTATTCAGCAGTAGTCCCTCACCAAGAATGTGACGACTTCCCATAGTTTGGAATTGATTCCACTCCAAATTCACCTCTCGAAGGTCGGCGTTGCGAGAGAGAATCTGAGCCAGATCCATCGCACCAAGATAACCAATTCGATTAAAACTCAGATCAAGGCAATTCAGCTCCGTGTTGTCTACAGCTGCTTCAACAAAGTCGCTTGTGTGTTGGTCACTTAGCCCGTTGTCACGTAATGAGAGTGTTTTCAGCACATTACCGGGTTTAATAAGCTCCAAGACTACAGCACCTCCCCGAACATCATCACCTGGATCACGCGCGCCCAGCATATTCTGGCTGAGATCGAGTGTTGTAACATTCCGCATTTCAGAAAGAGCCTGGGCTATTTCCATCCCACCTGCTGGTGTGATGTGACACCCAACCAGTGAAAGGTTCTTGATGTAGGGATTTACTCGCAGGGCAGCTGCCAGTGCAGCACTACCCTTTTTTCCGAGGGGGAAGAAGTTCAGGTCGAGTGATTCGCTTCCTTCGCAAAGTCTACGTGCGATACTTTGAATAGGAAATTTCATGAATGAATCCTTATGCAGTTGTTGACACCTATACAAGAACGCTGATTTCCCAGAGGGGTCATCTTCTGGACGCTCAGGGATGGCAAAAGTATACTCATACAATTCCTGTAGTTGTTCTTCAATGAGTTGCTTTTTGGTTTTTGTCGGTGCCTCTTCTTCATACGCCTCCAGAGGAAGGAGCTCCTCGGACTCTATGGTCCCACTGGAGCCTTTAGGTGAGTCCATTGTCTCTAAAAATAAAAAAAAAGCACGAAAAAAAATATGAAATAAAGCCCTAGCAACGTATATATTTTAGCAAAGGGTGTCAAAGCAAACAAGCAATTAAAAAAAGACGCAAAGAAGCCTTTTGTGGCTGATCCGTGTCGGCTGCGTCATTCCAAAGCCTGCAAAACATGTTTGTAAACAAACACGTTCGCCGCCTCTAAACCCTGGTCTAAATACACAGCTCCTATCATTGATTTCACAGAGACTGCACAGTGAGGATCAGGAGTTTGCTGTTTCCCTTTCGCTGAGAGCCATTGTAACAAACCTGCCGTAGATCTTAACGCTTTCCCTTGAAACAGTTGCACTGAGGCGTCTGTCAGAACCATATCTTCCATTTCCCAATGACGCCGCATGACGGTGCTAAGAGCAGCATCTGACATCATAAAGGCCACCAAGGAAAGAACTTCTTCACGCTTTAACTCTGTGAAAGTGTCCACGATCAACTTCCCGCCAATGTATTGAAGTAGAGACTCGCCCAAAGAAGCAGTCGCATTCATTGTTGACGTTATCGCCTCGGGTGTGGTGAAACTAGGATGTATGAACGCGCGCATGTAGAGGACATGGTGTCGTCGTTGAAGCTCAGGAAATTGCTTTTCAAGCCTTCGGGAAAGCTCGGCAGTCCACTTTGGAGGTGGAACAAACGGCAGCGACTCAAGTGGTGGGCACGGGGAAAGCAAGAGGGAGCTTAGTTTGCTCGAGCCGTCCTGCTTCGATGTCATTGACGATATAACATTTAAAAGGTTTGACGAAGATGACAGAAAATAGGAACGTCTCATCTTCACTATGGCAACTTAACTACATTCTACAAGAATCATAACCGAAGCACACGGAAAAAAAAAGAAAACAGATCATATTCTAATACACCATCCACTTAGACAGGATCCGCCCATTTACAAAGAGAAAAAAAATTAAGAAAGGAACGCAAAAAAAAAAGGACAGATACAAGACAAAAAAATCATACAACGCCGACAATAGTACAGCTAGGCCATTAAAAGTGCTGCAAGCCTCTTCTTCATCGCCAAATCACTCTCCCCCTTTAAGTGCGCCGACGTACTTCTAAGTGGAGTGCGATAAGGATCATAAAATACAGGTCTAGAAGAAGACTCCTCTCGCCAATCCGACGGAAGACTTGGAACAGGGGGAGCCGGGCGATGCTTTTGTGGATGAAATTCTGCTTTGTTGCATACCTGTTGCGGAAAAGCAACATTTGATATTACATGGGGAGAAATATTGGCACTGTTCGGAGAGTACGAAGGGAGAGTCCCTCGCATCAAAAGTGTTTGTCGCCCTATCTTGCGGTTAAGGTCCTCACTAAGTATGTCCCTTTCGACCACAGGGGCAATACGGTCAACACGCGGTGTTGAAACTGGTGTGGTTTGTTTCATTAGCATTTCGCTTTCATCCTTGCGCCTATCACCACCTAGATAATAAGAAGACGATCGTTTTCTCGAGTTGCTCGGCCGCTTACTTGAGGTCTCTTGTGACCCGAGAGACTTGGACCGACGGTAATTTGAAGAACGAGGAGACATGCTCCTGTGTCGTCTCTGCGTTGCTTCAATAAGGTCCTTCAATTTGGCCTCTTCAAGTGTCTGATTCATCCAAAACAATAAAAGTTTCCGCTCGCTGCCCTCTTGCTCGTAAACAGCTTCTCTTGATTTGGTCTGCAGCACGAATAGCTCAAAAGCTGCCACACGAATAGTCTCCAACTCAACAAAATATCCAAATCGCACTTCCAGTTCACTGAAATGCGCGTTTGCCTCGTTCATTATTTCAGCACGGCACTGAAGCTCCTCCACAGAGAGTAAATTCAATGCCTGCCTCACTACTGGTTTCAACTTTATTTTTTCCAGGTTCTTTTTTTCCACCCTTGTTTTGCTTCCATGAGATTCAGCCGTTTTACTCTTCGGTGTCGAGTCTCTCCCATTTGGTCCCTTGGGTGTCGGATGTTTCATTTTTCCCGCGTTGGAAACCGGTTTATGAATATCCTTCGACGCCAATCCCTCTCTTGGCGGAGGCGGAAAACGACTAGGAGGCAGGTGACGAGATAGACGAAGACTTCTTCTTTCTACGACATTAGGCGTCAACGCGCGACGCGGTGAAGACATGATACCCGTACCGTTTCTGTGGGGCGATATGTGCCTCATACCAGCACCGTATTCAACAGAAGATGTGGTCACGCGCCTGTAGGCACCACGAGGTCCTTGATGCGTACTCACAGATGCCCTTCCATCAACCAACGAATGTCTATTTGAAGGCAGACGCGACAGCGGGGCCAGACCCAATCGTATCTCCCGCTGAATGCGTCGACTCTCTAATTCCGCTTGGTTTGTAGTCTTTGAGCATGTTGTCCCCATGGCACCTAGAGACGCGCAGAAGTGACTACGACTGGCTGTAGCATAATGTGCAGAAAAAAAAAAGAAGAAATGCGCAATAAAATCTAAAAAACAGCGCTGTTCCAGTTTTAGTTCCATCCCTTTTATTTAAGAGATTAAAACAAAACACATACATCGTTCGTGTCTTCAATCGTTTCGCACGTAGCACAATATGTAGGCAAGCTGATAGTTTGGTGTTTCTGCTTCGCTTACTCGCTCGTCACTAAAGGAAAACCAAACACCATCGGTGCCAATGCAATCCGCGGTATAATGACCTCCGTGAATGTTTCCTTGATGATTCACTACACCGACCAAATTGTAGACACTATTCTTCTCGGTGGAGCACATAAAAGGGGACATGTCAAGTTGCTTTTGAAAAATGATGGAGTCTGCAATTTTGTTCGAGAAATCGCCGTGGAAACGAAAGCGTTTGATGGTTAAAAGCAAGATATTCGGCAAGGAATACACAAGAAGTTGTTTGGAAGCATTAACTTTTCTGCTGCATGAAGGGCATGAATACAAGGAGTCTAAGTCAAGAACCTCCTCTTTGCAATATGCATTCAAGCAATCCTCAATGGTGATCTTGCCTTCAATAGAAGGGACAGGCACCTCTATTCCCAGTAAAGGAGCAAATGATCTGCTAATTTGTTTGCACAAGGGACAAACAATCGAACTTCTTTCCTGAAACACACACATATCTACAATCACAGAGTTGTTTCGTTTTTTGTACTCTGACCAATACTGCTCTGCAATAACATGGTCACTGCCCTTCGTGGTATCAATTTCTTGAGCAATCTCATTGAAATTCCCCTTGTCGTTCAGGTTGTTATGAATACCATCAAGCACTACACGAAGAAATTCGTTTGCATCTTGCTGAGATCTACCCGCAAAAGCCTCGCATAGTTCGCCAGCAGCAGCCTTGAAAAAGGAGGGACTTACTGGATTTGCCAAATCAGTACGAGTCAGCTCGCGCAAGATATAACTAAACGAATTCACCAGCCTCCCCCGTCCTTTACTCGACTGTACAATGTCTTTCGTGTAATCATCACACAGAAAGTACTTTCTCAAAGGTGTTGCATAAAGCATTTGGGTAACACTATTGAGGTAGCATGTATTTCCAAGGTTCACAATTCCTCGCCTAGGATAACTTCCACGAGCAGATCCATTGTTGAAATCCCACTCAAGATAAGCATTAGGTGAAACTTTTTGCATTCCTCGCGGAAGGACGACCTGATCATTTGAAGTGTGCAAAAGGCCATTCTGAGCATCGCTCCAATAAGGCACAACATTCTGGGGCACCGAGGACGGAGCAACCGGTATTTTCAAGTCTTTTAGACGATTCAAGGCATCAGCTAGTTTCTCTTCTCCCTTTAGTAAAACTGTTTGCTGACGCTTCGTATGTTGTTCCTCCGGCGAGATTGTGTCATCATCATCATCCAGAAGAAGCTGCTGCGCAACGATTCGCTTTCGTTCTCCCTCGCGTTGTCGAACCTCTTTGATCAGGTTATTATAATGTTCAAACAGCTCTTCATCTTGAAGTTTCTCAACTGCATCCAAGCATTCCTTCATCAAATCCTTGGCCCGAGGTATTTCATCTCGCACGCCCGCCTTATCAATTATCGAAATACACCGGACAAAGTGATAAAATGCATGGTCAATGTAGCCTTTTTTTCGTTCTTCGACTGCAGTTTCAAAAACCTGCTTGCAGACATTAAAGTGCTGTGTGTAGGATCGTTTCGGAAGAACAAAATCCTCTGCGTGATGAAATATTGTACGCACGTATTCGCTGAAAGTGCATTCACAATCAAGCTGAAAACAGGACATCCTACCTGCGTAAAGAAACAAAAGAGAGGCCAGATAGTGCAGAACCCAAACCCCCGAAAAAATCGCGGAACCACCCCACACACAGAGCGAGAGAGAGAGAAAGAGAGAAGACCCCCAAAAAAAGCGCACCCCCACCCCCACGCGCAGGACTGCCCGGCGCCCGCCCAGAGCACCCCCCGCAACACCAAAAAT